AGCGGTATAGCGGCCCAGTCTCAGAAACTTGAGACCACTGCGAGAACTGTGTTCTATAGGTCGTGTGTGGCGTCAACGAAAGACCAGCGATGACAGTTGGAGCTGCGCTTGTGTCATCCGGCTCCTCCGGTGGAGGGGCCGGAGGCGGCATGGGTTCCTCTGGCACAGGAGGAGGGATCTCCTCAACGGTGATACCCTCTTTCTTCTGTAACCCTTATCCATCACAGTCTTACCGATTGATTGTGCTGGTGGACATTCCTTTATCGCGAACTGTCGAAGCGGTGAGCACAGCTGAGGGCGGTGCTGCGCCGAAAGGTCTGTCGGTGGAACAAACATCAAGTCGCCGGGTCATGCCATGATGGCTCCACCACTTAACGACGATCCGAAACCGGTGGGCGGGCGATGTCCGCAGACTTCCTGATGCCCCGCCCTCCCGAAAAGTGCAGAACCAACTCGCGCAGTTGGTTCCGAACAGCGAGTGGAGTGGTGGACATTCCTTTAAAACATAGACTTCCCCTCCCCTTCGAGAATTTTACTGCCTGTAAAGCCTAAGGAGTCGGCACTCTGCTGCGCACCGCCACCAGTGGTAAAAATCACGGGATTATTCGAAGGGGCTGTGCACTCTTTCATCTGGTGAGTGAGTGCTTGACGTCCAAACAAATGTCCACCTGCGGCCGTGTCCCACAACCAAGACACTCTGCTAGCGTCGAAAGCTGGCATTGCGTGCACTTGAGCGACTGCTGCTGGGGCGTTCGCGGCTGCCTTATTCTTTGCGAAGCGAAGTGCTTTGGGCGGTGGCCCCTTGTACTTATTGTTGGCGTCAGGAGCTCCGCCTTTTCTTCCTCAACAAGCCGTGTGAGCCTCTTACGACACTCTGGAGTGTGATGTCGCGTTTTGCGTTCAAACGCTCGACAGCCGGGTGTCTCGCTAAATCTAACACGGTCTAAGGTAATGCCCTTCCCCTCACACATAAAGGATGGTGAAGGTGCACCAGCATTCTCTTTCTGCAGTCCTTTGGCAGCTGGGTACAACAGGACCTCCAAGAACCAGCATCAAACGGACACTGTGGACACCTTTGCGTTCTCTAGCCCGATTCGCCACTGCCAGCGCTCTGCTGCTGCAGTTGCTGGGTTTTGGAAATGAATGCGGGTCCCGCCATTGCCGGAACTCCCCGACGTCCTTCGTGAATTCAGCCATGCTGGCATGCGGCAAATTGCTGCTGGTGTTGGCCAGGACGTCCGCCCTCCCGCGGCTGCCAGGGGTCCTTGGACCGCTGTCAGATCTGTCTGAGTCGCAACTTCCATCCTCCCTAGCGCCCATGTCTGGGCCGGTCGAAGACAGAGAGCTGTGGGTGTTCAGCCTCTTCAACAGGCCTCATGAACACCTCTAGTAAATTACCACTCCATGAAGCAAATGACATGAGATATCCCTACATCGACATCGACCCAAAAATTCCATCACCCTTGGCCGTTTCAATCGGGGTCAAGGAGTCATTTTTCATCCAGTCCCCACACAGGTCGTGTCTAGCCATGTCTAAGCCAAGCCCAACGAACTGGAGACTCCAAACGACGGTCCCCGACCCGCCCCGACCCACGCCACATCGTCACATCACGCCGTGGTGCCTCCAGGTCGTCCAGAGTTAGCCGATCGACTTGGATACAGCAGGTGGACGCCTGTCCGAGGAAGGGGGGGGGAGGCTTCCTGTCCGCGACGGCGACCGCCGCGATGCAACCGCGACTCCGAGCGACGTGAGGCGAAGTAGTTGATCGTCCCTGGTAGGTTGACCGGTTATACACGGAGTGTCCGGGGTCTGGCGGTGCCATGACCCACAGCGTTGTTGCGGTGCCAATATAGGAAGATTCCTGGAGTGCAGAGACGTTTTAAGGGAAACACCGATGACATCAAAACACCTACAGGAGCAGTGAGATGATGTGTTTGAAGCTTCTGTTTTCTCACATGGGTGTGTGAGCGTGATGAAGATATATGATATATACATTATTATACGTACTATGCTCAGTATATGATCATTCATACTCAGACGTGCTCCCAGACTTTATGGGATCTTTTGGCGAACCTCCCGTCTGCCCACCATGCCCCGATTCCCTGCAGGATCCGCGATGCTCAAACGAATTTTTCTGCCGCGGATCCGCGGCGCCGTTGGGTCCTGGAGATGCAACGAGAAAGGGGCAGAGTTGGTCGATGTCAGTTTGACACACCATGACAACACCAGAAAACAATGCAGGTTGGAAGGGAACAAGTTGTTTTTTTGGGGGCAGTGGATGTTCTGGGCAGTAGAATCGAAAGTTTTCAAACGTGGCTAAACTTGGCCTAACTGCTCAACCGAGAAGGTTTGGTCCGAAAAAGAAGTCCAAAAAAGAACACCTCCGTCTTTCTTCAGCTGAACCCGAATACTGATGGTCTCTAAATGTCTCCAACCTGCCAAATGTTATCTTGTTCTTCAGGGATTCCTCCTCTGAATCTGCTCAAGCAATCTCCCAGGTACCACAAAGACCAGTTTCAAGTTCGTTTTGGACTCTCAGGGTTCATAGACCATGGGTTCGACCCCCATGGCGCCCACCCCAACCATCTCAGGAGGTAGTTGGAGCCCTTAGGGTATAATCAAGCCAGGGGTACCGAGCTAGGATAGTCTAGTTCGGGTCTGACCCACCTCTGTTGGTAGACCATGGGACCTATATATGTTAGGCGTCGAACTCACCTTTCGGAACCCACCGTCCATGGTCAGCTTCCCTCCCGCCCGCTCCGTCTGCAGCGCGTTCGCGCCGCTGCGACCCGCTGCGACCCGCTGCGACCCGCGACCCAGTCACCTGAGTGTGGCGAGGTTGCATGGGGGCCACGGGTGGACCTCACAAAGAAGGTGGTGAGGGTAGGGGTACCATCAGAGGTTCTATAGACTAGGTACTATTCTATTGGTATACTCCTGTATGGTCCGATAAGGTCACTGGTAGGTGCCAAGGGGGGGTATCTCCGATGGGACATAGCCGGCAGGTGCCCCCACCCAGGTCGGCGGAAAGTCGTGAGCGGGGCCTCCAAGTGTTGGGGTTTCGGGTTTCGGTCACGTGAGAGTGGCCTCCTGGACCTGGAACAGATGCTGGATCCAAGAGAACACAGCATCTAAAAGGCCTGGGCCATGGGGTTTGTGCCATCTATTCGACCACTGGGGCCTACGAAGATAGATCACTCCGATAGCAAGCTACCCAGTGGATCCTCTTAGTACTATTAATGGACAAATATGAATGATATGAATATAATACTATTACCTTGGACATATACTATTAATATCTTGATAGACTAAGAGGATCCACTGGGTATACCCCAACACTCTTTTTCAGACTTCGGCGACCCTCAGGAGGAGCCTCCGAAATACTTGTAGTGGGGCAGGTCACATGGACGAAACCAATGGGAGACGGAACCATGAAACAGGTCGAACTATCTTCACATGTCTCAGGACCTTCCAACAGGTTCAAAAAGAGCACCTATGTCGACACCGTCCGAAAGGGGCTATGTATGTCGACACCTCTTGGAGGGTCCTGGTGGAGTTGCTGAAAACTGGCCAACACCGTCACCGTCAGATGCTGCTACGTCTAGCCGAAACCGAGGCCATCTGGTTCGAAGGATCTTAATCAGGGAACAAACCTGGGCCTCAGAACCCCGGGGCCTTTGGTTTGGGCCCGTTTGTCCCAACGGCATGTCTTCGCTGCAAAAAGGATCCGACCGCATGCCATTCAGAGGTCAAGGATTCTCCCTTCCATTTTTGGGGACTTCCCAAAGCTTCGGTCACTCAGCTTCGAAGCACAACTCGCCGCGATTCGCGGGCCACTCCGGATTTTCCCACGCAGGCGAACGTGTTCAGGAACAACGGCGCACAGCGCAGGGAGACCATGCACCGTGGCCGCCGTCTTGGTGGTCCAGCTCCGTTTGGAGTGGCCAGAAAGGCTGGAGGTGATCTCCTGTGTCCTTGTTGGCTCCCCAAACTCAGCAAGCAACATGACAACATGACAAGACGAGTTCAACAGGATTCCTACCAAGTGGTTGGTTATTTGGTGTTAAACATTAATGATATAAACTCAACAACCACATGTTTCAAAGGGCTCTATAAAGGGTTTTAAGGTTTTGGAAGGAAAAGGAGAGACTCCAAATCACTCAAACCTTGGGAGGTTCTTGAATGCGTTCATGGTTTCCGGAGAAGCACAAACACCATGTGACTGACATATATATGAAAATAGCTACAACCACTGCCTAAAAAGCATGTTTCCAGGACCATTTTCGATATTTTTTGCAAAAATTGATCCTTTGGTGGGGTGATTTTATTATGAGTTAGAATCAAATTGCTGAATACCCTCATTGCCCTCAAACACAGCGTGTAAGGTCACAGCCAGTCCATGTTCACGTCCGGGCGTCTGCTTGTTTCACAAGCAGCGCGTTGGAAACGCGTAGACGCACCACGATGTGAAGCAGGGGTGCAGGAACTGTCGGAACCCCAAAAGCCTTCCCTTCCTTCGGCTCGGCGGAAAGAAGAGGGGACCCCATGTTGTTCGCGGTTTTTTGGAGCCTTACAACTCGGATTTTGGACCAAACCAACTCAGTGTTTCAGTTTCTTTTCACACATCCCAAGAAAGAGGTGCCTGGAGGTCTAGATCCCACGGAGTTTAAGGGCCATTTGGCAACATATCAGGACCATCAAAGGCGTGCCCCAAAAAGACCACCCTGGTCTACTTAAAGCCTAGGATTCCTGGCCTGGCCCACCATTGATTTACTAGCCTTGGATTCCGAACAAACTTTGTTTGACTAAGGACTTTCCACTACAAAAAACCTGGTCAATAGGTTCAACAAGAATGGTATTGGAAGGCAGGGTACAGAGTTTGGTGGCCACCGGGTTCCTTGTTTTCTGCATTGAATGGTCAAAAAACAAACACATGAGATCATCACACATCCACTTAATCCTTCCACATGCGCCCCAATGCTTCTGATGGTGCAGCCTCTCAAACCTGGCCATATTGCCTCTTCAAGAGATCTACAAAGGTGCTGCTGCCGGCCTAGGACGTGGTCGGCCGGCCGGTTTTTTGGAAGCATTCCAGGATGGTCTTATACATGAGTTCTGGGTGGAAGGCTATCAAGTCTGTACAAAAAAGAGTTTACCTGATACTGATCAGCACCTGAGTGGCTAGTTGCATTCTGACTTCTTCTCCCACAAACCATCTTCCTCTTTCTCCAAAAGCCCTGCGCGTCACATTCTTCTAGCTCCAATGGCTGTTTTTCCCGCACCGACAGCACCGCCCTTCGCCTTCCCGATCTAAACTCTGGAGGCCTTTATATATCTTTTAAATCAAGTAAAACAACATTATAACTGACAACACCTCTTCAGGAGACTTCAACGTCGGCCGCGTCGGAAAGCCCGGTCCGACGACGCGTCTTCGCCGACCCCGTCGACCTCGGACGATCCCAAGGGGCACAGCTCTTGGCGATGGTGCTGGTGGACACGTCGCTGGAACTGACCTCAGCCGCACCGGTGCGCGACCGAAGACACGCGGTGAAGACATGCCGGTGTGTGAACGGTTGGCGAAGAAAGCAGACCACGAGAGCGAACATGGTTTGCAAACAAACGCTCGAAAACGACTTCAAAGACCGCACATCACCCGACTTACTTTGGCGCCGAGTGTGTATCTCAAACTCTGGGTTCATGTTGGGATTTTAATCTGCATCTTTTGTCCGACCTTCGAGTATTTCGTCCCATCATCGACAATGCATGCCAGTCTGGAATGATCGCATGCAAGTCAAAGGATTACTCCTTTATGTCTTGGCTGTAGCTCTCTACCCCTCCCCAGAAACCGACACACCAGCCTGTGAAAAGCCATAATAAGGGACGTTCACCTTCAAATCCGCAAAAAATGAACGCATGTTCATGCATGTTCACAAACACACACACACACACACACTAACAACATGGTCGAACTCTCCATTGTAGGTCTGGTCATCCCTTTCTCCACACCCACGTCCCCCCCACCTTTTCTTTCCCCCCTCCTTCTGTCCACGTCCTTCCCACGTCGAAGGGGCAGAAGGGTTGTGCATCACGTCGAAGTCGGGGTCCGCCGCCAACTTCGCCTTCATCTCCCTCAGCTCGGTCCCATCGATCCGAGGACCCCGTCGAGGGCAGCGGTTTCCAGCGGTCCATCGGGTCGTCCCGAAATACACTGCGCCGGGGGTGTGTGGGGTGTCTCGGTCGGGTAGGCAGTGGTGGACAATGCGGGCTGAAGCGAACAAATGCGTAGTACGGCAACGTCTGACGTCAAATGGAAGATCCCAAATCTGCGCAGCGCAGCAAATACAGCTCAAAATAGCTCATCCAAAAGGGAGTTCCAACAAGACGTGGCACGCAGAGCAATCCCTAGGGCTCCTGGCCCATATCCTCAGGTTTGGTGGTTAGACCCCCATGGCACCCACCCCAACCATCTTCGAAACGGAGGTAGGCCAGGAGCCCTAGGGAATATATCTCCTCCTCTCATGGCGCCATGAGCAAAACCAGAAGTGCTTGTTGGGGTCATGCGACGACGCCCCGCTGACTGAACCACGAACATCTGCTCACTCCGTCCACCACAGGAACACCATGGATTTCCTCAAGGATCCGAGAACCAAAGCAGCAACAGGACCTGGAAAGTGAGCTCAACTTGGAGTCTCCTAGTGACCTATAGTTGCAGGTCTTTTGTTTTGATCATGTTGTGACCGTACCAGTCACTTATTAGAAGGTCCAGAAGTCATTCTTCCCCAGAATTCAGGGGCTTCATCCACCCAAGCGCGACCAAAAGTGGACCACTGGATATGACGAGTTGTGGGCCAGGAGCCCAAACGGGATATTTAGTCCCATGGAGTATCTGGGTGATAAAGACATCCTGATGCGCCACCACGAGTCGCACACCACCAGGTGTTCCTTCCTTCGGCGAGAAGGCGATCGAGTAGTTGAGTAGCCATGCAGCAGGAATGATACATGATCCCATCCGTTAATCTTCATTGGCGTTTCTCGAACAAAAAACGATCATCACAAACAAACACTATATCTGAGTCCACCAACCTGGAAGTGGAGTTCGCCCCATGTTCGTCTACAAAGTCTCAAGAAGTAGTTCACCGATGTTAACCGTCGTCTTCCTATACGCGACCATGCCATCCACGGTCATGTGATGTGTTCGTCAGGCTCGTCGCCCTCTCACCCACCTTCGCCGAGGGTCGCCACGTGCCTTTGAGAGTCGAAGAACAAGTGCCTTGGGCACTTGGAGGCTTCGACGTCTTGCGTCGTTCCGTACGAAACGGTCGTCATTCAGGTCCGGTGCTTAATGACTACGCGTGAGTGCGTGAGCGTCAACACACACACACACACACACACACACACACACACACGCGACTCCTCACATTTCAGCGTTGGTTTCGCGCCGCTGGAATCGTAAAAACCTAGAAGTCACAAAGCGGGGTGGTTTGCTTCGTCCCATCCGGAGCAAACAGGGCCGTGGATGTGACGAAGGGTCTGTGAACCCGTTCATTCAGCACCGAGGTCCTCTGTGACTCCTGGAACCTTCACCCTCGACTCGACTCGACTTCAGAACATGCCAGCAGAGGTGGGTCAGAACCCGAACTAGACTATCCTATATAGGTACCCCCTGGTTACGGGTCCTAGTTCAGGTCACTGGCTACCTCTGTAGGTGAGGTTCAGTCGTACCCTGTTGCTTGGTTCGGGTCATGAGTCATGTCCCATCTTCTGGCGTAGGAAGAACGAAGTCGACTGCAAGGATAAACTGGAGTTGAAAGGGCAGTGTTTCATGGCATGGAAGCGATGTAACAAGAGAATCAACCCTGGGTCTGGTAGGCACCTGAAATATAGAAGGTAGGACTGACCTTTCCTGCCAACCACCCCAGTCCCGAAAGAGAGTGAACTTCTTAAATAGATGTGTTCCATCCTGAAAAGGTGTTGGCAGGGGTGGGTGCCAGGAGGGTCAGTCCTATCTTCGGATCTACAAACATGTACAAAGCCTTGCGGCGGTCATTGCGAAAATGAGGGGCACAGCTCTCAGGAGCCCCTAGTAGCGTCCTTGCTCCTTGTAGTAAGGCCAGGAGCCCCTAGTCCCGTTCGTAGCGTCCTTGCTCCGTTCGTAGTAAGGGGCACAGCTCCGTAGCCAAACATGACCATCACTGTTCATCACTGCTCGTTGGACCGTCAGCAACATTGGACCGGGCATGGTGGCAGCACAGTGACTCATCAGTCAACCTGGAGGGACGTGTCCTCCTCCACGTGCGACCGGTCCCATGGATCGAACGGGCGATCGATCGGGCTCCGGCGTCGCTGACATCCAAGCGACGGCCTCGCCTGCCTCTGCGCCTCATCCCGCTGTTTGCACAGCCTCGCACGGATGGTCGGACTGCCCGCGGACGTCGGACGTCGACGTGCGGCCGGGATTGTGGGTTTTGGTGGCCAAACTCCATCTCGGGGGGGTCAAAGACCATTTTCAGAAATGACATCATGAGATTCATATATCCATGATATGAATTAATTGTGTTTGTTGTTTTAATGAACCTGTTTTAATGAAAAACACATGCATGTTGACTTTCTCTGATTGCGTTGTTTCATTAGGTGACCAACAGCAATCTTCCTTTGCTTCATCGACCTCAACAACACATGCCAAAGGGATTCCAAACTTGTATTTGTTTGTTTCGGAAGCCGGGGAAAGAAATCATCCGACCTTTCCCAGGAGATCTCAGAAGAGGATTCAACCAGTTCAACTTGAATCAAGTACTGAAAGAGAGCTCAGAGCCAATCCCAACCGATCAACAAAAGAATCCATCCTATATAATTATAGCTGGTATTTCATGCTGGTAGGTACACACCTAGGAAGTCCTTAAACATGAAACCTTTTCAATTGAATCTTCGTTGTTTTTTCTGGTCTCCTTACTTCGGAATGAAGTCTGTGAATCACCGCCGACCCCCAAGTCTTTTGGAGGCCAAGTTGCTCATAGTCGACCATGCCTCGTACGCAGGGAGCGGCGGTCGTGGCGCATCGCCACGACCCACGGCGGAGGTCGAACGACCCACGGAGGTGAAGGAGTTGACCTGTCGAACAGTCTCCCTGAGACTTGTCCTGAGTCCCTGTTGGGGTGACGGACATGGAGACAGCTGACGGCATGGCGAGTCAGCTTGTCGTTGGGTGATGGCTGAAAAAGAGGTGATTTTCCATATATATGTGTCAATGAAGCCTGGAGTCGACCTGAGTGAGGAAACCAACAAAGGTTATATATAAGTGACCTGAACTAGGACCTTACTGGGATACCTATGGCATGAGATAGTCTATAGAGTTCTTCAACCTCTGTTGGAAATGGATGAACATGGGGGCCCCAGGAAAGTACAGTAGCTGTTTTTCTCGGGTCATGTCCCCATGTTCTATAGCACGAACGAAGTCGCGCCCGGGTACACTGCACTGCCGGCCATCAGAACTTAGATTTCAACCCATCCCAAAGCCGGCCAGTCCAGTTACTGTTGTTGAAACCCTAGTAGTAACAGGTGCCTTACTAGTAGTAACAAGAAGCTACTAGTAACAAGTGCCACGCTAGTAGTAACAAGTGCCACGCTAGTAGTAACAGGTGCCTCGCTAGTAGTAACAGGTGCCAGCTACTGTTGTTGAAACCCACCCTAAGGATCAGAACGGACCCTCCGAACTGGAGGGTTTGGACCCTGCATTTCTCTTGGGTCACTTGGACCTGAACCAATCCTTCACCTGAAAGAGGGTCCTTGATTCTTAGGGCACCATGTTTTTGTTGAAGACCAACCCCGTATGGATCCACTGCCACCTTCTCAGAAGGCAATTGGACCCTTCTGGCGCCTACATAAATAGTCTCCAATCACCGTACCTCAGGTTCGGTATGTGGTTCCATAGCTAGGGAACTTCAAAAAGCTCATGAAGGAGACGGACGGGGGCAGAGTCGGTTGGAGTGTCCAGCCCAAGGGATTGTCTAGAAGCGAGCGTTATCACCGGCGACCCTCTGGTCTTTTTCCCTCAGCTGAGCGAGCGCGAAAATCGAAAAGGCGCCAGAACATCGCCCGGAAACTGCGGCCGCTTCCGAACTGAACTCCCAACTTCCAGAACCGCTGTGACACGAATCCACCAGCGGTCCGACACCATCTATAAAATGGTCCAAGAAAGTGAGCTCGAGCGGCTTTTTGAGCCACCTGTAGGTGTAGGGAGGATTCCATGATCATCCAACTCTGCGGCTGGATTCTGATTCGGTAATCCAAGTCCAGGTGGCTTTGATCGGAACGGACTGCACAATGTGTCACCTCACACACTCAAAGCTTGGTCACCCCCTTGGACTGCGTGGTCCACTGGCATCATCGCTGCAAACCGTCCAGATGGCCCATCCCTTCGTCCCGGACGTCCGCCGGACGAACGACCGAGTCGAGGTTGAAGGACCTGAACTAGGACCCTACACGGGGACCCATAGGATAGCCGAGCTAGGGTTCTTCAACCTCTGCTGGCACCCAACCCTGTTTCGTCCCAGGTACTGGCTTTGCCCAGCTGGGGCATCCCAGCCTCCTCAGGGACGGAGGCTACGGCGGTATTAGTACCAGTTCACGCGCGTTCAACCGACGCGCGTTCAACGACGCCTGTCGTCCTATATGGATTTCAGGTGATCCAATTGACCTGGAACTTCAGAAGTGCGTCTCATGAAGTTCTTCTGCAGGCAAAAAGGTCTAAAAAGGCCGGCGTTCGCAGGTCCGTCAGGTCCTCTTTCTCCACCACGAGGTTCGCCCAAGGTTCGCATCAAGCTTTTTCTCCAACATCCATACCAGCCATGAATCCTTCTAGAGAAACTAGAAGTCCAAAATCAAGATTTTGCCCTACAAGTACAGAATCCAGAAGTAAAGGAAGTTCCTCTTCGGGTCACCTAACCACCACATATTTTAATAGTCTTGGACTCCCAGGGTAGATATAGTTTGAACATATATACACATGTTTGTTGAAAATGTCACCACGCTCACAGCTCCGGCCCCTCCATTCAAAATATCCCCGACTCCCTCAGTTTCCCCGGAAAGTAAAGAAAAAACGCTCCTAGCGCTTCCATTGGGTGTCCAATGGTGACCTATAAGCAGTATAGGGTTGTCCAGCCAGGTAACCCCGAATGGAAGCAGCTGAGCTGGTGGTTCTTTTTCCACCTGACCTATAGTTGGATTGACCAAAGCCATTTCCCCGAACACAGGGGGGCAAGTAATCCACGATGCTTTTGTTCTTCCTGCCATTTGAGGATCCCATCTCTCCCACACGCACGCAGGTCACTCATCACCCCATTTGGAGGCCCGAGGGTCTTTCCGCTTTTTGACCTCTGCGATGAACTCATCGAGGTCCGTCTCGCGGTTGATGGAGGTGATGGAGACGCCACCTGTGTCTTTTGTGCTTCCGCGTCGGTCCAGTGCTGGTTCTGTGATTTGGCTGGATCGGTCATGGCGGACCCTGCAGGGACTCTGAAAAACACGAATTAGACGACTGAAGGACGTCAACCTACCAGGGTGAATGTGGGGCTCCAGGTTTATTGAACCATCCCGAATCCTCCACTTCGTCGCCTATAGAGTCCAAAGAGCATAGGATTAGACACGAACATGTCAGATAGGATTAGACACCCCTGCGCTTGCGCACAGCAGTGCGTCGCGTCTCTGTGCCGTCTTTGTGCAGGGTCTCTGTGACCTTCACTCGAACTCACTGGGCTCGTGCGGGGCTCGACTTTGTTGGCCACACATTCTCGGGTCAGGACCCCGACGAAAGGTTCGTACTCAGTTCATGGGACTATGACTCACTATGTATAGATATAATAGGCCGGTACGACTGGGGCACCATTTTCAAAGGTACGTACATACAGGTCGAATGCAGTTCTGACAAACTCCCTGATAACATCTCCAGTTCTATGCTACTTGGGAAAGCTGTCTCAGCTCTTAGGATCCGCAGACCCGATCCGCCCCGGATCTGCCCGCGTGCGGCGGTTAAGGGGAGATCCAGTGACCAGTCAGTGGTTTGCATTGGAGGAGCTCCGTGGGTCTTCACCCACACCCATTTTGGGAGTCAGTCAGAAGCCTGAAATACCTGGACCTGACGAGTTTTTCGCTCGGAATTAGAAATACTCATTGATTAATTGTGATTGACGCTCCTTCAACCAACTCAGCTCCCCAAAGTCACACACCAAGTCAAGTCCAAAAAGTCGCGTCGCACCAGTCGACTGACTCGGCGAACCAACGACCTGACGTCAGTCGGTGCACCGGTTTGGAGCCGACCCGGCTTTTGAAAAAACATCGCCAGTCCCTACGTACGTCTAGTCTGACCCAGTCAAAACCATGGTCTTTGGGTCTCAAAGAATTGGTTTTGTACCCACCCTAAGGATCAAGGACCCTCAGTTTGGTGAAGGTTTGGTTCAGGTCCAAGGGCCCCCTGCGGAACCTGCAGGGTCAGGTCACCCTCCAGTTCCGTGGTCGGATCCGTTCTGATCCTTAAACCAGAGGTCTTTGACCCAGACGCCAGTTCTCACGTCACCGGTCTTCCGGTCTCCCCCGGCCTCCTGGAGGCATCGCGGCGACGTCGCGAGGCGCGCCGAGCGTCAGCACCGGTCGTTGAGCGCTCGGAGCCCCAACGGAGCGGAGGCGGAGCTTGAGCGATGGATACGCGGAGCGGAGTTCACGTCGGATCGATTCGAAGCACCGTTCGGTTGTCGGTTCGCGTAGGGCGGGCGAAGTTCGAGTGGTCGGACCCGTGAGTCTGGGGTGCACCGTCCACGCTCGGATTCCGCCGGAAATGGACAAGACATGCCCGATAGGGATCCAAGTACCTTCTCAGAAGGCACCTGGACCCTCCTGGCACCCACCCCAAACACCTTCTGAGAAGGCACTTGGATCCCTAGGGATGGTTTAGCCATGAAGATATTTCCGTGAAGCCCCCGGTCCATCATGTTCATCCATGTTCATCCATGTTCCACCTCTTGGCTTTGAGTGGGGAAAGAAACAGCGTAAGGTTTGTCCACGTATACTTCCTGGGTTTTGGGTCGGGACATAAAAAGAGTTCGCCAAACTCATATACCAGCTTCTTCAGTTCGTGACCTTTTGAAGGTTCGTCAGTGACCCTTTTTTCGGAGGCTTAAGTGACTTGAAACCAGCTTATCAAGTTCGGTCACTTGGAAGAACCATCCTTCAAACCTCGCATTGGTGCAGTCCCGTCCAAGTCTTCTTTGATGTTTTCTCACTTTTTCAGTCTGATGTTTCCTCTTGGCCAAAGGCAGCAGCCACAGCCCCAGAATAGACTGTGTGACATATATGTCATAAAGTTCACTATCATGTTCTTATTCCCTTTTGGATTCATGGCCACATGAGATGCTTCCACTCACTCCAAAAACACGCCATCACCTCGCCATTTTTATAAGCCAATGAGCACGTGATTCACAGGCGGCTCGGAAGAATTCACACATGCGCCGTCTGGCGCCTACCCTGCTTCCTCCACATCCCTGCTTGTGTGGGTTCTTCTGAACGGTGCCTCACAATCCAAGTTGCTTCCTCGCAGTGGCTGGCAGCTGGGCCCGTGGGTTCTCCTCCGCGGTGGCGGAGAGACCGCCACTGTGACGAGAGCGTCTGCGCAACAGCGCAGCGCAAAACCATGCCGTGATCACTGCATTCATCTGTCTGCTCAGCTGTGTGCGATTCCGAATTCGTCGGGTCGCCGCTGTGTGGCGCAGCCCCGACCCCTCCCACCTGGACGGCGCATGGTCTCATGCCACGCCACGCAGCTGCTGCCTGCAGCGTTTTCATGCGAGAACACTGCTAATTTATGTCCATGAGACGAACTGTGCAGTCAGCACAGCTTCGCGGGAGCCTCGACTAACAAACAATGTGTGCAGTGATATGATGATGCGAAAATACGAATACGCGAAGCAGTGAGAGAATACCAATCTCCTGGATTCATCTTCCGAAGCGTCAGATGTTTCACAAACTACCAGCGAATAAGGCCGCAACATGACTTGGGCTTGTTGATGCTTCCCAGCAGGGACAATATGATAAAAGTCGACGATCTGGCACGTCTTTTTTGCTCAAAGATGGGGTCGCTGTCGGCGTGCCGGAAGATGGCGAATTGAGAAGAAGGTGACCCCCCTCTCGGCCTACCCAAGCCGCTCAGAAGAACTCGTTCAGAGCCGCCTTATGAGACGGAGGCCTCGTCAAGCACCTTCTGCAGCTCAAGTGGATCATCCAGAAAAGCTTCAGTCTGATGGACGCTGGTGCTACTGGGGTTGCCTTTGATGTGCTTGTAGATGCCCTTGCCGAGGCGAGCTGCACCCTTGAGAACACCCTTTACCACAAAGATCACCGGCTTGAAGGGGAACAAGAACACCGGAACACCCGCTTGACGCAAGAGTCCGTCAAGAGCTTGCCCGTCAAAAGGCCACTCCAAAAGCAATACACGACTGATGAAATTGCCCACATACCGGCGGCAAAAAGTGCCACCCATCCAGCAGGACCACCTGCAATGATCAAAAAGCTGGTCAAAGCGCCGGTTAAGGCGATGTTCATGAGAAGAGAAAGCAGGGCATTTTTTTACATTTTCCGAGCCATGACCTCGGTGGAAGTGTGGTTGACTTGCAGTGCAGAGCCTGCAGAGCTGTCCGTCTCAGCCTCCTCTTCCACCACATGATCAGTGGCTGCATCCAACTCATCTAAGACCAATGAAGCTTCTCCTCGCTCTTGCTCAGACTCTTTCTGCAAGTCCTTCAACTTCACCAGGCCTTCGGCTTCCTCTTCAGCTGACACTGGACGGCAAGTCTCTGGCATGGCTTCAAATTGAAGCTTGGCCTGCTGCTTCGCATCTGTGTTGTCAAACAAGAGGGCATGGGCCAGCCCAGTCACCTCAGATAAGGCTTTCTTGGGATCCCGCAGAAGCTCCGACTTGCGGCACTTCATCTTCTTGAAAAGCTCCGCCATACTCTCAGCCTCGCCCTGGGAATTGGCCAAATTCTTCAACACCTTGGCGAAGCCATCACTGAGAGCAGTTCTTTCGGATTCATCCAGGGTGCCCATGAACGTCTCATGCACAAACGCCCTGATGATGAATTGGAATGCCTCATGGGATAGCCGGGCAATGAGCTAAGGAAAAAGCTGAGCGATGTGAACCTTCATTCGATATATTCATAGAGAATCATAGAGAGTATGGATCAAAACCCTGGTACCCTAGTGAACATGCAACAAATGACCAGAATAGTATTTGTGGGGATGTTCACCTAGCTAGCCATTCTTTGGATTTTTGTTGGATGGTTGGTATTGATATAGTTGGTATATCCCCTATTATTGCTGGTGAGTATCCACTACTATTATCATTAACCATGAGCAATTATTTTTTCCATTCACCATTCAAACTTATTAGCCATTAACCATTCACCAGCCTTTCAACCAGTTGATCCCCCCTGACCTCTTTGCCGACCCACTTCACCGACCTACCCAGCCAACTTCGCCCAGCCGACACTTCGCCTCAGTCATGGGCTTCACGACGGGCACACTTCCGGTTCCAGCGGCTGGCTTTCTGACAACTCTCGCTGTACCTTGATGTCCGACGCGCTGCGTCCAGCACACCGCCAGGTGGATGCTGGGAGGGCCCTGTGGGTTACTGGGTGGTTGAAGCACCCCCTGCTGGACAGATCTGAAAGTCCAAGCAATCTTCCCAAAGTCATTAATAAAAACATGTTCGAAACCACCAACTAGAACTGGTTGATTGATGGAATTGTTGGTTAAATTATGGTTTATCGATAAAGGTTATGACATGTTATGACACCATTATTACTCGTGGAACGCAGCCCAACGTCCAGGCAGCCCATCATCAACAGGCGCCCACAAAGAAGGTCCGAGGCTCTTCTCGCTCTTCGCAATGAGGATCTCTATCATTGCATGATAGTTTTCAAGGCCGTTGTTCTCCAACAGGTAGGCATTCGTATGGCGGCAACTCTCGGCAGGCGTCAGGTCCAAGGGCAAGCGCTTTCGGACGCATCCTTCACTGCAACCCTTCAGCAGGGACGTGCTGCAATCCGCATGCAACTCGTTCCACTTGGATTTGGACCATTCAACTTCCTGGTCACACGGACAGCATCATGACCGGCCAAAAGCAAGATGAAGAACAAAGCTTTCATCTGCACGTGGCTGGAAGCTGTGCGCATAGCGTAGAGAGCACGCCTCAAGGGTAGAAATGGTTTCACAAACTCGTTAGGATTCGAGGCTTGAGCCATGGAAACACATGGAAAACCCAACAATTGGCAGCTTCTGCTTCTACGCAGTGCCGATGTGCACCACCGATTTTCGGGCTCATCAAAGAGCGTCCGGTTGGAGGATGCAGCTCGGGGACGATGTGATCCCAGATGACCTCAAATGCCGAGTACCTGTTTCCGGCTTCATGCCCGGCCTCGGGACCTTCAGCGGGACCTTCAACTGGACATATTCCACAAAGGTTTTCGGGCTCTGGCTCTGTCGCTCCTGGCCCTGCCCCCTACTATATTATAGAAGGTGCAAGGTTCGGCTGCAGGGCGCCGAGATGTCAGGAACCTGAACGGGAATTTTAGTTCAGGTTGGGGTTCAAGTTTGGGCGGAGCGTGTAATGGTGGAGTATATGTTAACATGTTTGTTTGGATCTGGGATGGTCTGGGTCTTCAACCAGGATTCACCTCGCCGACTAGTCTAGGTACGGCCCACAGCAAGTCCGGTTAGGTTTGCATGCAAAGCTTGGTGAGTGGAGGTGTCCCAAAACGACTCACCAAATCTTCGATGAAACTTCCCAGGAGTCACGTTCGTGAGTGGGTGGTGCTGTTCGTCCCAGCCAGGGGCCGTGGAGGTTTCTCGGGATCCCTATCCTCCAAGTTCGGCACCCCTTTGTGACTCCTGGGCATGAAACCTTCGGTCCTTCTTCCCACCACACCCCTCACCCGCCTGGCTCGGCACGTGGGCCCACCGCCGTTTTTGCGCGCCGTCAGCGCTCCGGCTGCTCGGAGGGCTCCAGCAAGAGCTCGCGAAGCTTGGCGACGTCCTGACCACGTCACCAGAGTGGATTTGGTGGACCCCTTGGAGGAAGCCCAACCTCAGGGCATTAATGGTATGGAACAGTAACAAACATTGGGTCCAGAAATGGGATAATATGTAAGTTGTATAATTTTTGTAAAGAATAAGTACAGTACCATACATGGAGTGTCTGGGAATGTTCACCAAACAATTGTTCCAAGGACGTGAGCAATCAGATAGGCCCTATAGGGATCCAAGTAATTCCGAGTTTTGCATTTCGGTATCTAACCTTGGAGGACTTATATATATTTCGGAATTAACAAAAGGTTCTTTTTAGGTTATTGGTTTGACAGTCTGCTGGGTTGAACAAGAAAAGCAAGCATCTTCCAGGTCTCCTGATGAAGGCCCCCGCCTGATGATGGATTTGCCCGAACCGGGAACATGCATCAAACCAATCAAACCACTAGAAAACAACCAGTTTTCAATATTGAAAACAAGATGGAACCCACGAACCCGAATGAAAACACGATCGAAAAACTACATATGTCCAAATGACACTCTTGTAGGACACTCTTGTGGGACACTCTTCTGGGACACTCTTGTAGGACACTCTTGTAGGACACTTTTGTGGGTCACTCTTGTAGGAAACTCTTATAGGACACTCTTGTAGGACACTCTTAAAGGACACTCTTGTGGGACACTCTTGTGGGACACTCTTGTGAGACACTCTTGTAGGACACTCTTGTGAGACACTCTTGTAGGACACTCTTGTGGGACACTCTTGTGGGACACTCTTGTGAGACACTCTTGTAGGACACTCTTGTGAGACACTCTTGT